CGTCAGTACGACAGGGTCGAAGACATGGACATGGACTACACAGGGGAAGGAGCTAAGAAATAGGACAAAGAGAGAAAACATCTAGAAAAAGCTCACATGTAAAATTCATGCAATAAAGATGAGAAGGAACTGTACAGTAAAAATGAGAGGATGATATAACAGGGTTGATTACTAAATACGTGTAAGAGGAAGAAAATTGGATTGGTGTAGATGGGCTAAACCAACTAAGGGAATGTTGAATAAAAGAAACACTAAACTAAGGGAATGTTGAGTAAAAGACGTTGTCGTGCTGATTACAAAAGGTAAATCAAAATTGTAGGGATAAAGGAGAGTTAGTGTTGAATACCGCTGCTAATGAGAATACTTCTAACCAGCCTACTTATCTTTTTACAGTTGCAATAGAGTATTTGTAACTTATAAATTTATTTTTGTAAATACATTTCACAATGCTAGTAATGATAAAATCTTCTTCGTAGCCATTTTTCGACAGAGTGGTGACCATATCCGTTATTTTGCTTACGAATACATCGAAGAACGTACAAGTGTTTGCTAACCTCAACGTTTCCGTATATATAACAGAAGCTTTGTTGATAAGTGAAATGTTTGTATCACTATATGGAAATCTGATTACATTGAAGCTAAAATCTTCCGTTTTATTATACAACTTAGTACTAACTTTACCATTAGCAATACTGATTGTCAAATCTAAATAATTGCTTGAAAATTCACTATTATGAGTTTTATTATGAGTTTTTTTAAGACCTGCCGCTGGGAAAAGCTTTTACAATATACGACTCCGTTCGAGATTTCCCTTTCTAGCAAGACCGCTTCTATCCTTTGTCGTAGCCGCCATCTCCCAAATTTCTTTCAACATCCTACCGCTTCTTCTGAATATTTTTTCCGAATATTCTCCACTTTTCTCAAAAGAAAAACCGACGTCGAGCGAGAAGGAGGTGGAGGCAGGGATATAGGGCCCTTGAAACAGGACAAAGCGATAGGAAAATTCAACAACCGAAACCATTTTCCTCAAAGGTCCCCCTAATTCCCCAATCTCCAGCGTACCGTACCCTATGCAGAATGCAGAGCGTGAGATTGAAGGTGGGCGAGCAGGATTTGTCAGAGGCTGAGGAGTTGAGGGTGGTTTTCTTCGAAATCTCACAAATTTCTAAATGACTGAACGTAGTGAATGATTCAGAGGCCTACAACTGAAATGAGGACATGTCGACAAAATAACAGTATTATTCAGAGAACAGTTACTACATGAAAAGTGAGATCTTCGCAAGTTCTACAGCTCTGCTTGATTATCTCAATGGCGTTGTCATCTCGATAGGTGATGCAGATCAACCAACCATCTCCGCAATCAATGCTGCTCAATCGTAGTGAGTTTGTTTCACTGATGACTTCTTCAGTAGGCATGACATTTGTCCCTGCGATTCGAAAGCGAAATGGAGGATTGGAAGGGCAATGCTCTCCTCAAATGAAGCTCCTTTTCGGTCACGGTATAATTATACAAACAGCCCGGTGAATTCAACTGTTTGTATGATTATAGTGTGACCGAAAAGGAGCCTCACTCAAAGAGAGCATTGTCATTCCAATCCTCCATTTCGCTTTTGAATCGCAGGAACGAATGTAATGCCCTCTGAAGAAATTATCTGTGGGTTAGCCATAATTGGTACGATCGCAACTTATTAAGAGGTGGTTCGCGCCTAGCGCGAAACAGCTTTGATAAGGTGCGAAAACTTGGTGCCTAGCTGCGAAGTGAATTAGAGGCAGTTCGCGAGATGATTTCGTCCTCCGCCTAAAATGCTATTAGGGCGCTATATGTTGGTGAAATGGCGAAAGAACGGAGGGAAACGGTCAAAGTCCCTCGAAGAAAGAGCCTCCGTAGACAATGTGTGAGAAGTCAATTTTAGACAAGTTTCCTGTAGAGATCTTACCAATAACCGCTACCAAAGGTACGGCTGCACATGTGAACTCCTATATCCATGCAGCATCACGGCCGCTTCATACCAATCCCTTCGCTTCACAATTTACTTGGCAAATGAACGATTAGAGCGTCAGGAACAGTCGTCCATTTGAAGGCGGGCGGGCGCGCGCGGCGGGCGTTTGGGTCGGAATTTGTGGCTTGATAGGGCCCTTACAAGGGTGCCTTCCTTTGGAAAGGCATTATGCAGCGCCTGCTCAGGGTCGCGGAATTGCCAGGCGTATTCGTCCTACTCGTCTTGGGGATTGGTCGTGCCAACTGCCTTTAAGGAGAGAGTGCTCACAATTGATGTCATTCAGGTCATCGCACGCTTCCTAGAAATGGTTTGTTGCATGATGTAGGTTTCCTTATAAGAATCACAGAATCTGTTCAATTTTTGCTACGCATTTCTGGGAATGTCAGAAAAATAAGTGAAAAGTTTGCTAAAGAGAAGCCATTTCGAGACGCTTTGCTGAGCTCTTTTCTAATTGTAATGTTGAGTATAGATAGCTAAGGAGAAGTTTGTCAAGCATGCATCGAGAACAACTCAATATAAGGTGAAAAAACCTTACATGCCACGTGCTGTGACTGCGCAGAAGTTTCTCAAGTGATTTTCGAATCATGTTGGCGACAGCTGGCCTCGGCGCCGTTTATAAATGTCAGTACCGTGATCGGGGCTACTGATGGCCCTAATACAGAGTTTCACAAATTTTTTCTCATCGAGTTTCTCGAGTTTTTGCAACAGATCTGTTGAACTAGTGTCTATCAGTATCCAGGTGTCGGTGTCCAACTTCTATACCTGGACCCTTTAATTACTATATTCTAGTACTATTTACTATTTTTATTTTTATTTCACAATTAAAATGAAACACGTTCCGTTGCATGGGTTACGACTGGAGGTAACTAGTTCCTTGATGGAAGCTTATACGATGGGAGCCGAGAAAAGCACAGGATGCTCGTACACGTGCCCTGGGACCAACATGGGTTTTTTTTTCATACCGAATTTGAGAAGGGACATTTGCGAAGGTTGGTTTTGCCGGTGAGCTACAGGAAATGCGAGTTGGGGTTCCCCTGCCGCTCCAGTGGCCGGTCCACTATCACCAAAGAACCTTTTCTTTTCTGACAATCTGTATGCAAGGGTAACCCCGATCACGAATCTAACACTTACTTTTGCTGAGGAGGCCACTTCGCGCCAGCATAGCGCTGAACTGTGATGTTGACAGCGACTTCAGTGCAAAAAAATCTCCTGCACCAAATCAGCGATAGGTTGCGTCCGACGTGAGTGCCGTGCTCGTGAACAGGGCATCGGGTGAACCCGTAGCCCATCTTTCAGCAAGAGTTTTCTCAGTCGTGTATCGAGAGCGCAGTAGTTAAGTGGGAACTGTAAGAGTATAGATTGAGCCTTTAGATGGCATATTATTGTGTAGGACTGAGTATCTCCATATACTTCATTAACCTTGTTCCTCATTTTATTGATCATCCCTCACTTATAATGAAAACACATGAATAACGTGGCGACCTCTCAGCCCTCCCTCGTTAATGAGGTCAGTTCGCAGTTAAGCACCAAGTTTGCGCACTCATTAATGTCTCGCTGCAAGGTGCGAGCTACCTCTTAATTAGGTGTGATCGTACCAATTATCCGTCACCCGGATTCACCCAGTAGGAGAAGTAGCTCAGCGAAAGCGTTGAAAAGCGTTGGAGAGTGACTGATGTGTAGGATCGCTTCGTTTCACGACTTTTCTGCTACTTTGTTGTTAGTCCAGTCACAACATAATCCATTCAGCTCGCCCTTAATGCATCCGGCGTCAGTAGTGTACGTATTTGCCGACTCCTCCTCGTCCGATGGCACATCGTTCAATCCGAAACTGTCATCTTCCTCGCCCGAAATGATGGTCATACAGCGAATGTTGGCGTGGAGGAACAGAGTGAGTTCTTAACAACGAAATTCAAAAGGGGTTTGCAAGTTGCTGCAAATAATTGATGCAGCTGAGGTCCTTCCCACTTTATTGTCGCCAGACTTTTTGGAGGCCCTATGTACACCCTCTTACGGATTCATTAGCAGAAATTTCTCCACTGTGGAAAACAACACGAAAAGAACAGTTAAGCCATTTTAAAACAAATGATTTCAGTTGGCAATATTTCTCTCCGAAACGGACTCTTCTCCTATGGACTATTTCGGCGATTACTTCGATGTTTTCCGGCGTCTCGTAAAAGCAACGCAAGGAGATCTCATCGTGTTTGAGAAAACCAGCTTAACAAACGTTAGTGAATGCAAATTTCAATCTCACTATTCTTTTTTGTGTAGCGCGAAATTAATACGATTACACTGCATGAGAATTCATCCAAAGAGCCACATTCTTGGTAATTTTCTCGTCAGTTCGGAATCAGCTCTTAGAGTGAGGGGCTCCGTTTGAAGGGCTTTCGGTGACTACCTCGAGTTTCTGTTACTCTCCGCTTTCATTTGAAAAAGCCTTTACCATACCGGGCTATAATATACAGGGTGTGCTTTTGGAAGAGTCACGGTGAGTGGTACCCTTAAGATGCTCTCGATAGGTTTAAATGTGATCAAGGCGTTCCTCTATGATACCTCTATGACACGCAGACAAGCGCATTACTATTCCTGTGGCGAAGCACTGAAACTTGAGTTCAAGAAGTCAGGGTGCATACAGTACGGCTGTTAAACATACTTCAAACTTCGGTAATTGAACCGGGGTACGGTATGCGTGTGTTCACGACGCAACACGTTCAACTTTTTCTGGGGACTGTGCGCACCCTGACATCCTGGACTTACAACTTGTATAAGGGAATCCCAGCAGGTCGACCCAGTCATTTGCAATAAGTCGTACCATTGTACCTGGAGACGCTGAGTTCAAAACTCTTTTCCGTGTTCACAGAAAAGTTATTGTTGTTCACTCCCGCACTCTTTTCCAGCTTTTTACAAGGGCCGGTGGACCACCAAAGCAGATAAAGGCTCATAATCGTAGGTAGTTACCGCAAACATTGTACGTAAGGCCGCTTTCGTACTCTCCATTGAAATTATTTGTAAGTATGGCTGATTGTGGCTTGAAGGGAGCCCATTTTGTGTCGGGCCCGTACTAAATAGGTGTGATAATTATATTCAGGAGGTCAAATCAGCTCTGAGGACGAATTTGGGCTGCAGTCACATGTGCAGTGGTCCTAGGATCATAATATCATCGGTGACTGACCTCTACAGGGAAAACTCGAATGGTACTGGAATACAAAAGTCAGATAACCGCTATGACTTTGGAAAGAAAAAAACGTAACCACTGCTGGGGGAGTGGTCAATGGAACATAGAATCATGAGAGCATTTTGATATGTATGTATCAAAATGATCTCATGATGTCGTATGTCGTACCAACCAATGCCAGAAATCCCAAGAATGATGCTAACACATAGGTTAAGTACTGCTTTTCTTTGAAAGCACGGGGACATAATTCAGTCCCAAGACAATGTTTCGATATCAGACTAGCTTAAGAACTATAACTGGGGCGATACCGACCACTATTTCACTCATGACTGGCTTGCTCATGACATGAGCAGCCGTAGAGTTTCTATGACATTAAGCGGCTCTCACTGCAGATGGTCGACCGACTACTTCCGTATTACTACCAAATGGAAAATATGGCTGCACTGTACGGTGTGAACCCGCAGAATGATGTGGAGATATCTATCAGAGCCGACTACCCTAATCAAATTGTCTATATTTTAATAACAGCGGAAAATGCTACAGGTATGTGTGCAGTAAAACATGCGGAAATATGTATTTTGTTCACTGCGACGTGAGATGTGAGATGTTCACTGGGTGAGATGTGTTCCACGACTTCGAGGCGCCATACGCGCGCACCGGAGTATCAGGCTGTTCCAATTCGTGACATTTTCACACTTATTTCGAGTGGAGCTTGTTCCAAATGCCATCAGTATCTATCAGCCGAGAAAGGTGTGGATATAAAATCGTTTAGCATATTTGTCGTATCCGGTGTATTATTTCGAAACCATTTTCGGAATCGAATCTTCCCTTACGATTTACCGTGTGCGAGAATGCCGAATTTTCGAACCTAGGCCGGTGCTCAGTGGTGTGCCGCAAGAAGGCGCTTTGTCTCCTATTCTTTTCAACATATTTATATTCGAACTACGCGTCTTTCAACATCAAGAGGAGTGAAATGTGTTCCTTATAACCTCAAACTATGTCATCCGATTTCAACTGACTCGGACAAAGTGCTGTTACAAGAGGCCATCAGTACGGTTAGCAAGTGGGTCGAACAATGGGGCTCACCTCTATCTAGTGAGAAAGCTAAGGCTCTTCGCATAGAAAAAGTTGATAGCTCTTCCTCGTATTCGATTCAAGGGGTACGTTTTAAAGATGTTTAAGGGATCCGAGACCTAGATTTCCTTATTAGGGTGACTTAAGTTTTTATGCACACTCTCGCAAATTGTGTCTAAAGCAACTGTTATTTTGCATAACAGGTTCAGGTCATTCCTAACCAAGATGCCAGCGTATTGTGCAAAGCATACAAGACCTACATCATACTTGTACTGTTGGTGTACGAGACTGCAGTTCATGGTCCGAATAAAAGGAAAAGTTTCAACGCTTCAGAAAGGGTACAAAATAACTTCACCAGAAAGGTCTTCTTGAGAAGGGTGCGGCTTGAGTAAGACCAAATATCCACCAGTGTAGTGCGAAACCTCAACCTGAATATTGAAATTCTAGCTTTCAGAAGGAAAACAATTGACTGGATTTTTCTCTTCAAGATTCTTCACTTACGCACTGGTGTTGAACTCATCATTCTTTTTGCAGTCAGAGAATCAGTTACCAGAGGTAGTTCTAGAAAGCTAATCACTCGTCAAAGTAAGACTACAGGGGGGGGGGCAAAAAAGTCATTTCGACCGAGTCACATATAAACAAAGTTTTTTCGCTGCCCAGACAGAGGACGTGGATACGAGTACCAGGGCGGAAGATACCCAAGATGTTCCTCGATAAACAGGAGCTGGCTCTCGCCGATCACCTTCGTGTACACCAAAATATGAAGTCATCGCCAGTCGCAGCCTGACTAGAGAAGACCTTTGGAATTTATGTCACCTCCAAATAGCTGAGAAACTTCCAGTATGGAGTCACCCAAGGATAGCTACCTGGAGACCGTACTCTCGATCTGGATGACCTCCAACATCGAGCAGCTCCGACAACGTCGCCTCGGTCTAGGACATCATCTTCACCGCAGTCGCCAAGGCGCGGGTTGATGGTAGGGACCGGACGTACCTGGAATGGAAAGGTCAATATTTTCTTCGTAGACCCCGGTCTAAAGGTGAGCGCTGGCGGTTACATTGGGCAACTGGTGAAGAATATCCTCTTCACATGTGGTCGCCCGTACCTTCTTGGAAACTTTGTACTGCTGCAGCATTGAGTGCCACCACATAAAATCGAAGGGCGTTGGAGAAACACTCGCCTACTTGGAATGGAAGGGGGCTGAGTACTTAAAGGAGATGGAATATCTAAGCGGGTCACCTGACCCAAATTCTCTCAATTACCCGGTGTGGGCGGAGTTTAATAGGGTGGTCTACAGTGGTGGAGAATTCAACTATCGCTGATCTCAGGCACCTCGTCGCGGTGCCAGAATCTCTCGATGGCGCTCGTCCAGACGGCTGTGGCGGAGTGTCATGATAGTATTTTAGATGCTCTTTAATATTGTGGTAAAAATGTCCGATCAGATTTTAATAAAGTGCAACTTCTAGCGCCTTGAAAGTCAATGAAGAAAAGTGACTTTTTTTGGCCCCCCCTGTAATATCAGGTATCACTTCTTTGCAAATAAGACTATCCCAGAGTTCAAAAGACTAGTTCAGTTAGGAGTGACCACAAGCAAACTAAGTGCTTTTAAGGCCGTTCTGGACAAACATCCCACACAGTAACACTTTTGCAAGCATCGTTCACCTCATTAGTATCCACTGTGTTCTTTCGCTTTTACTTAAAGGCAGAACCCGCGATTATCCGCCATCCCAGATAGTGGCTTAGGAGGTTCCATATTGACGATATGGGGTTGAGTAACTCGACAGTGAAGAAAAAAGCACAAAAAGACATGCCGCCTGCCTTGGATAGAACCCCATCTTGATCTCAGTTTGTATGTTAACTCTATTTCCCACATTACCTCCTCATACGCACACCTGATTCACCGATAAGAACTCTACGATCGTACAAGTGACGATTTTCATCCTGCAATCTCGTTTTTAACTAAAACCCGAACATTGAAGGCGGAGTCTGGAAGCGGAATCACTGGAGAAAAGGAGGAACCACCAAACCTATATTGCGCTATAGCGCACCTCCCTTAAAATTTTTGCCGTGAAATCGGTACAACGTTGTTCGTCAAGGACCACTCTAACCTCCTGACGCCACATTTTCATCTTCGATACCTGATCGCGGGCCATGCCTTTAATGGTTTTTGATGTGGCTCGGTCACATGGCATTAAGTCCTAATAGAGCTGTTGTTCTGTTTCGTTTTTTTGTTTTTCCAGCTTGACACAGGGTTACCTGTGTAATAAACAACTACAATTACAATCGTATTTCGTGCCCGAAGGCTGTTGAGGAAAAAGCTAACCTGTCGTCGCAGCGGTTGAATCAGAGTTGGCGGGATCGGGCCCTCTCGATACTCTGCTCTGTGAGTTAGTGATCAAAAACTAATTTACAGTAAATGTCTCACTGCCTAGACCTTGACTGAGCTTTGCCGCGTGTGGGTGAGAGGGTTTGCAGCTGCAGTAGCGTGTCACTTTCTCCGCTCGGAAAAACGTGGGAGCACAGGCCAATACCCGAGTGTCGTTTCCATACTCCGCCGTAGCTGCTGTACGGCCGGCCAGCTGCTGCACGCCTTGACCATATCCAAATGCGCCACTTGTCTGTGCTCTCTCACTTCTAGTTGTTCTCCATCGTTGGCTGCGTGTTCGTTAAGGATTTTGACACTGACGTACGTGCTGCCCCTGAGGATAGCTTGGGCGAAGTCGGGAAACAGCATCCGGGTACCAATGCTCTGCTGTCCCGTTCCCGCGCACTTTTGAGCAGAGAATGTGACAATGTAACATGTTATGCTGCTGCGGACCCATTCGCCTAGCACACGGCAAGGACCGTCCTCGAAGGCGAGTGTGCACTCTTCAATACCCCTTGTATAGACCACATGACAGGACTGGATTTCCCAACTATTCCGGAACGATATGGTACGACATTGCAAGTTAGTCACGAAATTTCGGAAGATCTTGGCAGTCTGAGGATCCTCCAATTCGGTGCTCTGCTCATATCACCATCGAACGACGTTGCAGTTGATAAAGTCGCAATCTGTCGAGGCGGTTTGAGAGGGATGGAACAAGCCCACTGGCCGCGTTTCCATCACCGGTTGTCTTCTTCATGAATCGATCACCATTATCATCGATAGCGCAGTACACACAGCAATCAACAGGTTAATATGGAGATAAAGCTGAGTTAACTATCCTTCTATTCTATAAAGCAGAAACTTTGTGTGTCGGTTTGTCGGGTCGGTATGTATGTATGTAAGTATGTTTGTATGTCTGTCCGTCCGCAAAATGCTTCACGGGTTCGAGGCCGGGGGCGAAAACGACCGCTAGGCAAGCGGGCATATCGGTGCGGAAGTATCAATCCAATGTTTTGATCGTGATATCGGCCTCCGCTATATAAAACAACCATTCGGTACGCTCCGAGCCATTGCACGAGCTGCTGGCGCGGCAGCTGGACGTGTCCTCGTGCGGGGCAGGGTGGGATGCAGCCGAGGGGGGGGGACGCCCAGTGCCACCCCCCCCCTCTGCTTCATTCCCCTGCGCGTGCTTAGCCCGATCTGAGCATGCGCAAAGGAAGGAAGCAGAGGGGGCGGTCCGACTGGAACACTGGGGCGTTTGTTCCAAGGTATGATATAGGTTACGGCACAGGAATATGTGGTAACAAGAACTGCTAGCTGCTGGTAAGGGGAGTTAGAGTAGAAAGAACAACATACTCATAACGCGGGAGATAGCATCAGTTAGGCGTTGATTTCAGCAAATAATATCAAGTGGAAGGTAGACACGGCGACGTCGTGTGACAGGAAATGATAACTGATGGGGACTAATAAAGAAAAACGCAGCTGTTGCTCAATCAAATGCTAGAGCCTCTACACCACGAAATTATGGAGTTGTAGTGATGATAGCGACATTGATGACGGGTGACAAGCAATTTTATCAATTGATAAGTAAAGATAAGGGGACATTATCACGACATCTCTGACCACTGTACTGCCAAAAAAGCCTCTCAGTAAGCGAAATTCTCCTACGGCCATCACTCCGCTGATAGCACTAGAAAATGTACTCTCCCCACTAGGAGGAGGGTATATACTTCGTCTGAAACAAGTTTGGAAAAATCAAAAACTTCAAACTTGGGACGCACTTTATCGTTCAGTGAGATTTACTTTTTTTTGCTTTTCAATTTAATCACTGATGAGAACGAATAAAGAAGTAGTCTGTAAGATATTCAACCAACGCAGCCTAAATATTGTCATCTGCAGCCATTCATGCAACCTTAGCAGGTGGATTGCATGTTAATGACAACTTAATCGCCCATTGTTGGTGTTGTAATGCAGGTAATAAAAACGGAATTTGTTCATCTACTCTGCAACACATATTGATATTCTGTACTTCCTATCTATTTCTGAGACCTACGTGTAGAATGGGCGTTATGGCCGAAACCACACGCCTTCCGCAACTCTGAGGGGTGCAGATTTCGCTAGGTTACTCTGTCGATTATGACTCGGCCACTACGCGCA